TAGGGGGAGCTCGTCGATCACTTTGTCGAGGCCTGTCCTCAACCTGCTTAGCTTTTGTTTTATCATTTTGGATGAAGTCCGCATCTGATTTCTCCATGTTCACATATTTGCTACACCTCTCAAGTAACTCGTCAAAGGACCTTGTCGGCCTCTTCGCTAGTGAATCTCTGCACTTCCCCGGCCTCAACCCCCGCGTAAGGCCTCCAGCTTTGATCTCTTCCGAGGCAGAGGGAACCTCCACGCACTCTTTGGTATACCGCGCTACATACTGCCGCAAGGTCTCCCCCTCCTTCTGTTGCATATTGATTAGTGAGAGATACGTCTTCTCGTGCTCCCTGGCGCTCGCGAACTGGTTCAAAAACAAAGAGCTGAACCTCTCGAAGCTATCGATAGACCCAGCTGGCAGCTGGTGGAACCAATCTTGTGCCGACCCCTTCAGCGTTGTTAAGAAGGCTCGGCAACTCACAGCGTCACTATACCTGTGCAGCACAGCTATGTTGTCAAACGATCTCAAGTGCCTAGCCGGGTCCGCCGATCCATCATAGGACAAGCTCAACTCCCTGAAGTTGCTAGGCAAATCGCCTCCTAAGACATCCTCGGCAAAAGGGTGTCCTCGTGAAATTACAGGTCTCTTACCCTGAACCCGAGCTTGGAGTTCTCGCATTTGAGCCGCCAACCTTTCCAAAGTTAACCCATCTGGTTGTGCCGTGGCCACCGGGTGAGAGGTCACCGACCTGGCATCATCCTCGTCGCCCCTCTCCAATCGCTGGTGTTGCTGCTGATGCGAGTGGACCTGTTGTTGTGGTACTAATGGCTGTCGTGGCGGAGGTTGCCGAAACGACTCGTTAGGTGCTCTCTTATCCACCTCCTGCGCCCGGCCTATCGCCTCAGCAATAATTTTGTCCAACTCTGACCTAGTCATCTGAATAACTGGGTCCTCCCGTGGTGCCGAAGAAACATTGTCCCCCAGAGGACTTTGTGCTCTTACCACGACCAACTGCCTATTACCGGGGACACCATGATGGTCACCAGCACCTCCAATTCCCAAAGTGCCTTGATTCGCCCCCCCATCAACCATGGCGCCCACCTCATTTACTTTGTCTGTCAAACCACATGATCCTCCTTGGTTTAGCACACGCCCCCCAACT